GGCAGAAAGAATTAAGATGCAAAGATGCCCTGATACACGAACCCTTGACAAATAAGGAAAAGGCCTACTAGCATTGACTGAAAGATATGATGTCCACATTTTCATGGGGAAAAATAAACCTGAAAAAGGGGCACATCTGAAAGAGATTCACGAGGATAAATTAATTGTTTATAACGTTGCTTTAGAAAGAAAAATTCAAAAGCAAAACCAAGAAAATTTTGCAAACACGTATATTCTAATAAAATATCTAAATTCAAATGGTGTATGTAAATTTATTTTAAAAAAGACAAATCAGTTTCCATATTTTTCACATAAATAGTGTGCATTAAGAGGTACCATTTGTATGCTAAAAGTTAAATGGCCAAAATAAAGGAGAAGAGTCAGTTTTTAAAAAAATAAATCTAAAGGAAGAGCAAAGACTTTATTTCCTGACGGGAAATATTATTTCCTGTATGCTAGTGTCATGATTTTTTGTAACACGTTTTTTTGAATAAATAAAAAATACAAAATAAATAAATTTTGTATATCGACGGATAGAAGATTGGTTGAGACACACCAACGGTTAGTTTTCAATTTTGTTGTATACAAAATACAGGAAATAAATATAGGTTTCCCACTAACAATCTGAACGTGGGCAGCAGAGAATGGATGCTATGTGATATTATTGTACAGCATGTTTTCAGCCATTCAGTAATCAAATGCTAGTTGATGAGCAAACAATAATCAGTAATACATATAATCTGGGAATGGTATCAGTTTAAAATGGTGTGAGCCATATCACATAGTCAATACAATATCACATAGCTAAACTGGCAAGATCATTATAAAATAAGATAAGAATGAAATCAGTATATCTACATTATTTAAAAAAGCAAACACAAAAGTCATCAAGGAAAATCAAAATCAGTGCTAAAGAACAGAAGTTTATGTTTGACTGTAATATACTGTAATATTATGAATCAGCTGTCAGGACTGAAATGTTTGCAATGGACTTTGAAATTAGGCTAAGGATTGCTTGTGGATGTTGGTTGTTCACTTCTGTTCTCTGCTTACTGGAAGTGGTGCTACAGAAGTTCCCAGGTCCATCTGGAACAACTGGGGGATTAAGTTAAAGAACATCAGGAAAACAAATGAGCTACAGTCTTTTCCCAGAATCAGTTCCCTGAGCTTAATCCCATTTTATGCATTCAAAGAGTCCTAAAATGTTCTCTGTGACCATTCAGAAACTTGCTGTGGATTTTCAGAACCATGCTCTGAACATGAGATTGTTTTTAAAAAGTATATAAATTTCTGCTTTGGGGAGAAACAGGCTGGAGAATGTGTCTGCAGAGAATATCACTACAGAGCTTTTAAACGTATTAGTAATACTACTAATTTTTCCAACCAGCATTCATATGCGTTTGGTTTTGCTTGATTACAGAAACTCACGCATTAGTAGATACTGCAAGAAGGTTGATCATTAGTCTGGAGTCTGGACAAACATGTTACCTCCTGACTGGAGGTCTCCCCTAGTGTTTGTGCAGTAAAGAGCAACTTCAAATGCCTCACTTGAAATCATACATCTGAAATCAGCAAGTTGAAGAAAGGTGACTGAAAAGAAACAAATCCCTTCACTTCTTTACCTATGCTATTTAATAAAGTAAATAATAAATTAAAAAACAATCCTGGCAATCTAGAGGGAATACTTTCCTTTGGCCTAGAAAGCACTGTGCCAATTCCCTTTACCCTGTTTCCATCAGTCCAAATCTTGATCAAACTAATCTAATAAAAATTACTTCAAGTATTTGAATACATTCAGATTCTTAGTAATCATACGTCCGAAGCAAAAACACCCATGTACTTCCCTGTGGCATATTTCAAGGCTGAACAGTAACCTTGTTATGGATTCCTTCGCCTGGCAAGGGTTATTCTTATCTGACGTCTTGTAAAGTTATATACCTTAAGTGCAGCTCTTGCAGAGTTGATCTTGTTTACATGCTACAGCCAGTAACATCATTTAGAAAGTTGCATTGTAAAAGGAAAATGATATGATACTGACTGGAACAAATGCAAAAAGAATGGATAAAGTTCAGCCAATAGTTAGCAGAACTCCACGATAACCTTAGAAATGAGCATTATATGTCATGTGTCATAAGGGATAGATAAAGGTGGAGCTTACATTATCCCCTGCATTTTATTTTCTTCCAATGTTCACGTGACATTTTGAACAGTACACCAACTGATTACTAGTACATTGTCCAAAGCAGTCCTGGATTTGATTCATGATTGTGTGAAGCCAGATAATTGGGTTAGTTGACCAACTTATAATTAAGTTAATTAAAGGTATTCCTATCATGCAGGTGGTATAAATTAAACTCAAAGTGGGAAAGATAGTGAAAAATCTCATTGCTGGTCTCAAGGACAGTTAGGGGGTCTGAATATGAAATGTTAGAGAAATGTGTTCTTGTATATGGAATCAAAGTAAGCAACTATTATTCTGATGAAAAAAGTGACATTGCAAGACTAATTTAAAGCAGCTTGAATGTTGAAATTTGCCTGCCTTCTTCCCGTTACACCATTCTATTTGGTTTCACTCTTAAGAAAGCTTTTTGAAATTTGCCATAATTGGGGTTGAAATGTATTATATGGCTACCAGACTGGACCCCCAAGATTAATTGGTCTGCTTTTCCTTCATACTGGATACCACCTTATGCCTCCAAAAGCTGCATGAAAAAAAATGAGGATAAAAATCAGAAGCATCATTAAGATACTAAGCCAGACAAAAAAGATATTTATGTTGCCAAAATATGCCATCCAAACTAAATGAGAAAGAAATCACTCAAGAAGGACTGGGTAAGTGCATATTCATACCCGTCAGGGCAACGAGAGACAAAGTTACTGAGAGGTGCACAATACTAATCCAGCTGGCTATCTACAGTACTTGTCATTTCAGGACCTCATGAGTCACTTAGTTGAATTTCTGAGTAAACTCAAATGGTTGGCTGCTACTGAACCATGGGCAAAAAGAGAAGCAAGGTATAATATCTATGAGTATCTCTGAAATGGATTCTGGTTTAGCAGAAGAGAACTGGGTGAACAACCATGTCTCCCTCAAATATTACTGTACACATTACACGTTCCAGGCAGAGGCAGTATAAAATGATGCAATTTTCATCCTTGAATTTTGGGATCAGATAAGACACAGCCATGAAAGATGATTTCATTCCCTACGAAAACAGTTGGGATTGTGGTGGGATTATTATTGTCTTCACACATGGGAAAAAGAAGGCTAAGCATAATAATCTGCTCTGTACCCCCCCCCCGAAAGTGTGTGTGTATGTGTGAGGGTGGGTCTATTTGGCTCTTGACACCTACTGTATTGTAGAGAGGTTATTCAGAATATCTAGGAGGAACTTGCCTTGAAGGAACAAAATACAATGACTTTGATATGTTCACATAACCCACATTAAACCACACTGCAAAGAGCAAAGAGTCCATTCTCCATTCATTTCTCTCACCCATGCCGGTAGCCAGATGAAAAACCAGCTAAACGTGATGTTTTATTACACTACAATCTGTGAATGCCTAATGAATAGGGAATTTTCCCTGCCTCAATTTCATCCCACTCCACTAGACTTTCCTAATGTCTTGTTAACACCCAATAGTTGTGTGCTATTCCAACTAAGCATGCAAACTCCACATAGGTCAGAGAAATTAATTTCATGTGAATGCTTCTGTGGCCATTGGGAATGGCTCTGTGGGACAGCCTGTGCACCTAAAAGACCAGCTAGCAGAACAGTATTTGAGGAATAGCTAATAGTTGAGCATCACTTGCTCTAGAAATCTTCCTTCCTTCCTTCCTTCTCTCTCCTTCCTTTCTCTTTCTCCTTCCCTTCTTTTCTTCCTCTTTTCTTTCTTTCTTTCTTTCTTTTTCTTTCTTTCTCTCTCTTTCTTTCTTTCTCTTGTGGGTGCAGTTTTCCAGTTTGCAAGGAGTCTGTAACTCCCCTGGCCAGAGCAGCCAGTTTTTATCTGTCTTTTGATCTTGGAAGCAGTTATGAGTGGTTAAAAAGTTAAGACACTTCCTCCTCCAGTTATAATAAAGTACTTTTGCTTCCTCTCAGAATCTTTGGCCTCTAAAAGTAATGTGGTGCAGTGATTAAAGTCTTGGACTGGGGTTGGGGAGACATATGTTCTAAACCTTTCTAAGCCATGAAAACTCCCAGAATTGGGCCAATTACTTTTTCAACCTATATTTCCCCTGCTTACTACATCTCTGGAGTGCTGACCAGTTCTCTGCAGTGTGACTTGAATTCTCCTGGGTGAAAAAAAATGGCAAGGGATCATTTGCAAGGTCACTATGAGGACTGTTCTTGGCACCTGTTGGATAAAATTAACTCAGATTCACACTGACTTGGACTCATTGTGTAGGTCCTATGGAATTGAGATACAACCTTACAGAGTTTATCTTGGAGGAGTTCAATGGTGTTAATCCTGAGAGAGTGGACAGGATCCCAGGAGTTGTTAATGTGTCCACCTGCGTTCTAGATCCATGGCTTTCTTGGTTGAGAGAAGGCTAGTCCTACCAGCTCTGAAAGAGGCAATAATCTGCCCCCTTCTCAAGAAGCCATTGCTTGATCCAAGAGAACTGGACAATTTTTTAGGAAAGATTGACAAGAAGGTAGTCAGTTTGCTAGTCTAAAGTATCCTGAGGAAGCAGCAACATCGCTGGTGGTGAGATTTTTTTTTATTACCTAGTTTCTCTTTTCCTTTTTGGGTTGTATGGGAGTTTTCAAAAATTGCAAAATAGATGTCCCATTTCTTTTGACCCCCTCAAGCCCATGATGTTGCCTCATCATGGTGATGATGGGTGTTCTTGGGAAGGATGAAGGAACACCAGCCATGTACATCTAGCATGAAGGTCATTCCTGAGGCCCAGCCAACACGGCCCACTACTGGGCCTTGAGTCTTTTGGAACTGGGCTGTGGAAGTGGTGGGAGTACGCAGAACCATCCCCTCCCTCCCACAGGCCGGCCTACAAAGCCAAAAGGGAACTTTGGATTAACATATCCAATAAACACACCTTCCTCCTCCTATTTTCTCCACAACAACAATCCTGTGAGGAGGGTTGGGCTGAGAGAGAGTGACTGGCCCAAGGTCACCCAGCTGGCTTTCTTGGCTAAGATGGGACTCTAACTTACAGTCTCCTACTTTCTAGCCTATTGGGCCTGAACCAATAGACCAAACTAATCTCTCAGGCTAAATGACATTCAACATGCTACTGAGGAAGACCTAAAGAATATTCAGACTATTAATAACAGCAAGCAATATCTTGACCACTGTGTTGTTCTCTAGATTTTCTGGCATAATTTGATTAGAACCTTTTATGAGTCTTGTTCTTGTTGCTTGCCATATTTTTGTAGATATTCCATCAATTCCTATAGTACAGAGGTCCCCAATCTTTGGGGCACCAGGGACCAGTTACGTGGAGAGAGGTTTTTCAGCGGACCAAAGGGTGCGTATAAACACAATAGTAAAATCAATACAATTAAAATCAAAGCTGTTTGTAATTAAAATCAATTATCAGTTCCAAACTTGGTGAAAGAGATATATTTTGCCATGTCCTAAATATTGAGAGAATGGGAGGTCACTCCATCATTTGAGATAATTATCCAAAGCCTTGAAGCAGCACAGAAAAATCTTTATCCTACATATCAAGATAGCCAAGTTCTAGAAGGGAGAAGGGGATCTTTATATCCACCCCCTGCTTTTCTCAGTAACTGAGCAGGTTCATAGGAGAAGAGACAGTCACAGAAATTGCTGTTTAAAGATCAACTCCCATATTTAAATTGTATTCAATAGGGAATTGGTAGCCAGTCCAAGTCTCTCAGAACAGGAATCATATCATTTTTGAACCTTATGCCAGTCAGCAGCCTGGCTGCCACATACTCTGAAATTTTCTGGAGCACCAATTAAAGAAATTGACACATTTTTTACCAACTGCAATTTTACAGACCTTTTGAGAATAGCCTGTGCATTACAAAGTGCATGTATGGAAATCACTGCACTGAGTAATCAACTTATAGCCAAGCTCTTTATTCACACTTTAATAAAGCAAAGTACAGGAGGTAGTTCTGCTTCTTTCCTTCTTACCTAATAATCCATAATTTCTAAGCTTCTAGGTCAGCAGGAAAGAATAAGCAGGGGTAGAAAAGTAGATAGCTCTGGGGCAAGGGAGATTTTCTAACTATAATGTTTAACGTGGCAAAAGGAGAGGAGTGACCGAACTGTTAGCTTCAGTAGGAAGTCCAGCTTTCTTCTAGATGTTCCAGGAAGCCAAAGAGAAATTCAGAACTGCATCAGCATCCCTGTTTTTGTAAAATGATCAGTTGTATCAGCTGAAGAGCCCTTTTGCCTTCTTCCTTTTGGTTTTAATAACAGGCATTTGTGCTTTCTGAGCTTGGGAAGATGAGACCTGGAAAGAAGAGGCACTGATCAGAATTGGTAAGTCAACCAGCTAACCCAAATAGTAAGAGTAAAACCAACTAGTTGTAGCCAAATAAGATCTCATCATTTTATTTGACTTCCATAGTTGAGACACAGAATGTGCCGTTTCTCTCTGGAGTGTGAGTAGCAGTCAACAGCAAGCAGCGGTGGCAGGTAAGAAAATAAAAATGGCATGCACACATTTCAGTCACAAAGATGCCCCCACAGGATTAGAGAACCTAAAGGTTGCTGCTGACAACCACTGAACTTCACAGACATACTCTAAGCAATAGAAGAGTTTACTACTAATTCTTTTAAGAGGGCTCTTCAAGGGGATAAAGAAGCAGAGATGACCTCATCAGGGAAAGAGGCTCTATGGTTCTCCAATGTTCAGTTACATCTCTGAACATCTTTTACTACTGGTTATGCTGGCTGAGGCTGATTAGGGCTGGGGCAACATAAAGAGAGCCATGCATGTAGGGATGTGGGTCTATACATATGTCGTTCATAGTATGTTTAGGTGTGTGTTATGTATGTGATTCACTTTGAGAGTGGGCAACTAAATTTCATTTTTGATGTGTGCCGTCATGCCCACAGTATAAAAATGACAATAAAGGTTATCTTATCTTATTGAGGCAATGTGGCCAAGGCCATTGTTCCTTCAGTAACTATTTGAATACCACATTTCTAAGGCCTTTCTAGACAGTGACTTTTTCACACAGTAAATTAGACCCGTACACAGATCTAATTTCAGATTTTGTCTGATACAGATATTTCAGTACTGCTGCTATGGCATACGGCCAACAGATGGATTTGCTGATTAACACATGTGTAACTGTTACTGTGCTACAAGGACAGGTAGTCTTTCTCAGGAGAGTTTGTTATGGCTGTAATGTCACTGGGAAATTGTGAATTTCCTACCATTAAATCTGGAATCTGCTTGTCAAAGGACTTATTTCCCAATATAACACAGGCCTAACCTTTTAATCATAGTATTTTTAATTGTATGTTTCTTAATGCTATAATTTTGTTTTTTTTTAACTGTACCTCATCCAGAGTGACATCTTGTGAGATGGGCAGTCATAAAAATATAAATACAAAATAAATAATCAAATCTCATATTATCCTATGACTTTCTTCTAATTCTGATGTGCCTTTATAACAATAGCTTTCCATAACCACATTTTTTTTTCAAGACTACAACTCCCACGTGCCAGTGTAACATGCTGCTTTAGAGATTATGGAAAGCACAGATTAGAGAAGTTGCCTTACCCACTGACTGTCTCCATCCCATTATGCACCAGACAGAGTAGCAGCAATTAATACAAATTTTGGGACAACTGGCAAAGTTCCTGTTCTCCAGCCAGTTATATACAGTATCACGATCTGTTTCCTCAACTTCGACACTTTGAGGACCCCCTTCCCATATGTATCTAGTAGCCATGGACCCACCATTGCTTCTTCCACATGCTGTGCAGATAGCAACTGGGTCTCTGTGTTTTCTTTTGCTGCTGGCAAATCTACCACCTCTTCTGTAGGGTCTTGAGAAGTAGCATGGTCTTCTGATTCTGTCAAAGGAAGAAGATAACAAATGGTGGTACCATGAAGAGGGAGTCAAGCTATTCTCCAAAGTGCCTGAAGGCAGGACAAGAAGCAACGGATGGAAACTAACCAAAGAGAGAAGCAACCTAGAACTAAGGAGAAACTTCCTGACAGTTAGAACAATTAACCAGTGGAACAACCTGCCTCCAGAAGCGGTGAATGCTCCAACACTGGAGGTTTTTAAGAAGAGACTGGACAGCCATTTGTCCAAAATGGTGCAGGGTTTCCTGCCTGAGCAGGGGGTTGGACTAGATGACCTCCAAGGTCACTTCCAACTTTATTATTATTATTATTATTATTATTATTATTATTATTATTATTATTATTATTATTATTATTATTATTATTATTGGTTAAAGTATGAAGGTTATAGGAATTATAGAAATAAGAATTGACCCTTATAGTTTCACAATTTGGAAGCAGACAATTTATGCCTTCCAGATGTCTTGAAGTACACTGCCATATTCCCAGATCGCTGACCGTGCTTCCTGGAGCTCAAAGAAATTAATTTATTTGAAATACATATGTACGGTTTTTCATTGATTCCAATCTAAAACATACATAGAAAACGGTATAAAATATGAAAATGATATTTTCAATTTAAAAAGTAAAAGAAAAGAAGGAAAACAATCTACACCATACATACAACTTTGTTTTAGGAAAGTCTAGATGAAGAGACAGGTGTCTCTTTGGCTGTCTTCAGAGTGCTTCAGAAATTTCAAGAAAAGGCATCTTTCAGAGCGAAGACCACCTTGTGTGCCCCCCCACTTACGGTTACAAAATTGGCCCTATTCAGGAAAGCATATAATTGGTATACAACCAAACTATAGGCACTGTAGTCACAGAATCAACATGGGCCTCCAGTGACATTATACATCCTATATTACTATAATAGCTATTGTTTCTGAGGGATTATAAACTTATTCCAAACAGGAAAAGTCCAGTTCCCAAACTTGGGAACCAACTACCCACAAGGACCTCTGTCTTGCTAAGATAACGTTGTCATCCCCTCCACAACTGTATCTGGACACTGGTTTGGAACATGCCAATTCATTAACGTACTGGAAACACTGGCTCTATTACTCCAGTTGCCTGCCGTTGGTGGCTTCATATACAGTAGCTGTTAAATAACAGGGACAGACATAGTGCCTTGTCGCAACACAAAATGCAGAGGAAGATTCATTTATTGTACTTCTGAGATCATCTCCACAAGTATGAAACGCAGGGTCCTCATGCAGGCACTATTGGTGCTCAAGAGATCAATGCACCCTGTCTCTCTTTTGCAGGTCAAGTGCAAAATGATAACTATGGTAGATTCTGTCCCAGAATTACAAGAACCAAGACTGGGAAGGGTTGAGATAATCAGTGTGCTGCAGAGACATCATCCTCTCAATAAGCATGAAAACAGAGGTACTGCACATTGGACTGGACTGCAGAAAGGGTTGATGCAGGGTTATCCATAATCTTTTAATTACCAGGCCGCTCCCTCAAGACGGAATGGGCCAATTTGCCATGGCCAACGAGCTGCAGCCAACTTGCCACAGGATAACTCGCTGTGAGACGATTCAACAATTCAATTTAATTATTTAAAATAATTAAAATTATTTTAATTCACATTTCGTTTTGTCCCCCCCTTTTGCATCCTTTCTTTAATGATTCTATTCTACCATTACTTTGATATTAGTGTAACTCTTGTGCCATGGTGAGTTGTTCCGTGGCGAGTTGGCTATGGTGAGTTGGCCGTGACGTATTGTCCTAGACCAGGGGTAGGCAACCTTGGCTCTTTTATGACTCGTGGAATTCAACTCCCAGAATTCCTGAGCCAGACATGCTGGCTCAGGAATTCTGGGAATTGGAAGTCCACAAGTCATAAAAGAGCCAAGATTGCCTACCCCTGTCCTAGACCCCTCTCAAGACCAGAGGGTATGTTTCACTCTGTTCATTGACTGAGTGGCAGAGACAGGCTCACAGCTGCCTTGGAAGCTATACAATTTTATGTGAGCCTTAACCGTTTGGAATAAGCTACAGACTAACACCTAAGGATTAACAGGTTGCCTACCCCAATGCTCTACGTATAATGTCAAAATCAGATGCTAAAGAACAAAACGGCAAGGGAAATACAGGAAGGAGCAAACTAGGCGCATCAAAGGTTGTTTGGTTCTCTTGAACGATGACTTTCTGTTAGCCAGATGACAGCACAAAATCAACCGAATTAATTTATTTCTGGCAAAGATAACTAAGGAGAAACTTCCTGACAGTTAGAACAATTAACCAGTGGAACAACCTGCCTCCAGAAGCGGTGAATGCGCCAACACTGGAAGTTTTTAAGAAGAAACTGGACAGCCATTTGTCTGAAACGGTATAGGGTTACCTGCCTGAGCAGGGGGTTGGAATTGATGACCTCCAAGGTCCCTTCCAACTTTACTATTATTATTATTATTATTCGAGATAAGTCGGCTTGTCTTCCAAAGGCAGATGATGGCAGAGTAGACACACCCTTCCCACACTTGATCCACTCACCTGCACAGTGCCGTTTGCGAGCAGCTCTGGCTTGTTGCTGGGTCACTGCCACATAGAGCGATTTTAGGTTAGACGTGAACAAGCGTCCATCTCCCAGGCGGCAGGCTTGGGGCAAAGTCTGAAAAACAAAAGAGGAGATAGCGTGCAGGGTGGAGACTACAAAGGGGATTATAAGAACACAGGAAATAAGCGCACTACATTTCACCTAAAAAAAGGTACTTGCTGAAATGTTGCTGGCCTTGCTATAGTACTCCAATGTCTACAATGAGAAGGGCAATTCAGGAGTGATTTCGCAATATTGTACCTAAGCATCAAGATCAGCTACAGGACCTAATTCCATGGAACGTCCGCACTCCGCACGCAATGGGCGCCCTGTTATTTTCACTTACAAGGAACTTTGGTACCCAGAGAAGGGGATTAGCCTTGGGGGGGGTGTGTTGCAATCTTCGAAGAGGAGGCTGTCAGTCGAAGTAGAAAAAGGTGGACCAGAGAATAAACACGGAGCAGTACAATATAAAATTGCTTCTTTTTGTTTATAGGCAGTCCTCGGCTTACGACCACAACGGAGCCCAAGATTTCTGTTGCTAAGCGAGACGGTTGTTAAGTGAGTTTTTCCCCATTCTATGACTTTTCTTGCCATGTTTGTTAAGTGAATCGCTGCAGAGGTTAAGTGCGTCACCCGGCTGTTAAGTGAATCTGGCTTTCGTATTGGTTTTGCTTGTCAGGAGGTCGCAAAAGGAGATCGCCTGATCCCGGGACACCACAACCATCACGAATAAGAGTCAGCTGCTAAGGGTCTGAATTTTGATCACTTGACCGTGACCACTTGGCTCCTGGCCAACGACCATGGGGCGGCTGCTGCAACGGTTGCAGTCATAAGTTGCCTTTTTCAGTGCTGTTGCAACTTTGAACGGTCACTAAACAAACTGCTGTAAGTCGAGGACTACCTATATTCTAATAATCGGGTGCCATGGCTCTTACCGTCAAACAGCTCTGGGACCCCTGCCCTCCATTTTTAGGCAAACTCATTGTACTCCAAAGAGCTTTCCACTTCTAATATAGAAATGGTATGAAAGCTTAACTTGAGAAATGCCTAGCTCAGTGATGGCGAACCTTTTAGAGACCGAGTGCCCAAACTGCAACCCAAAACCCACTTATACATCGTCGGGTACCGGGTGGGTGTGGCCCATTGGGTGGGCGTAGGGTTGCCAGGTGTTCACTATTTGAGCGGACAGTCCACTTTTTTCACATTATGTTCACTATTTTTTTTCCACAAAATAGTGGACATTTTTTTTATTCAAAAGCTTTATGATGAAATGGTACGTAATCTAAAGCTGTACAGTCTACTTTTTTTTACTACTTAACCCCCCCCCCCGCTTGTCCGCTATTTTTTGAAAGCAGACCTGGCAACCCTAGGTGGGCGTGGCCCATTGGGTGGGCGTGGCTGCAGTGGTAACAGCAGACTGGGTGGGACTAAAAAGTTCAATCAATCAATTCCAACTTTGCAAGATCTTTTTTTTTCCCGCGAGAAGTTGAAATTGACTGATTGATTGAACCTTTTTTTTTTTTTTTTGCACACGGCGACGGAGGCCTAAAGCGAAAAGGTTTTATAAAACCCAGCTGAAGGCCTAGGACTGGGGTGACGGCGCGTGTGCCCACAGAGAGGGCTCTGAGTGCCGCCTCTGGCACCCGTGCCATAGGTTCGTCACCACTGGCCTAGCTCCTCCATTTTCAGGAGGAGGACTGTTGCGTTGGAAGCTCCCAAGCGCTGCACGCACGCACGCACGCACACACACAAACACACACAAACACACACCACACACCTGTCCATCAATAAATGTTAAGAAACTATTTTATCCCAGCAGGACAGAAGGGTGAGAACAGGTACTCCGTTGCACCCAGGCCACAGGGATCACCAAGGCCCAAGTTTCACTCCACCCCCCACCCCACCCCCCATCCTGGTCAGAGAGAACCCAGAATCCTGCCGGCTGCCTACGTTTCAAAGGTTTCCAAAGATAATGTCTCCATGTGCTGCAGCTGCTCCACACCCAAACAGGCAGGAGAACAAAGTGTAACAGATAACAGGCCGGTTCCTCTGCAAGCACTGAAGCGCTCAAGGCCAGAGTCCAAAGCTTGGCCAGTCACCCACTCCTCCCTCTGCAGCCTGCAGAAGTGGCACAAGGCTCCTGGCCAATGCCACAGGGCACAGCCTAGCTAGCAGGATGCACTGGGAGGTGAGAGTGAATCATATACTGGCATTATGATGACTCCCACCTTCTTTTCAGAGCCTTAAGGGGGGGGGGGCAACTGGGCCTCAAGTGTCTCTCTGGACTGAATGTCTGAAAGTACTTTTAGCATTCCTGCTCTCCTTGTCTGGTCCTTTTCAGGATCTTTTAAACTCGATATGCCAGGGATTTGAACCTGGGACTTTCTGCAATGCCAAGCATCAGCTCTAATTTTCAGATACAAGGCCATTCCCTCCTTGGGTAAAAGAGGCTTTTCCTTTTAAGTACGAATGTTTGTTTCTCACATCCCCTTGCAGAGATAATTCTAAACAAGATGCCCCGGGTATTCCAGGAAGGAAGAAAGTGAAGTTAAGATTATTTATACACATACCAACATGCATATATACACATGTTTGCCACACCATATCCCTTTGGTGTCTGTCCACCCCTCACAAAGTTACAAAATAAAAAGAAATGGGAAAAGGAAGGCTAGGAATGCTTTGTTGAATTCTTAAACAAATAACCAGTGGAACAACCTGCCTCCAGAAGCTCCAACACTGGAAGTTTTTAAGGAGAGACTGGACAGCCATTTGTCCGAAATGGTATAGGGTTTCCTGCCTGAGCAGGGGGTTGGACTAGATGACCTCCAAGGTCCCTTCCAACTTTTATTATTATTGTTGTTGTTGTTTTGTTGTTGTTATATATATAACATAGTAAAAAGGGGAAAATTCACCAGCTAAAATGGGCATCGGTTAAAATTTGCACATTCACATAATAAAAACAAACCCTAAAAGCTATTTATCATATTGTGAAATACACTAGCTTACTTTCCTAGGGCAAAGAGTATCACAGACCAGTGAAAAAGTTTTCCTCTCCCCCTTTGCTTCCATCAACTGTGCTCTGCCGTGGTTAGAACCGAGGAATCGATGAAAGAGAATACTTTTGATGGAGGCAAGATTGAGAAGAGGTTCTCAAGTCTGGACAGGTTTGTAAAGGGAGCAGGTTTTAGGGAACGGTGTGATCACAAGCCATCTCCAGCTTAATAGGTTGTCATTAAGAGTGTGAATTATGCCTAGAAACATGCCTGATAGCTGGTGGAACGGCTTTAACAAGAGAGTAATTCCCTCTAAATAGAGGCACCTATCAGTAATGTGGCTGCAGCGGTCTGAGCTACCAGGACGTTATTTTATTTATTAAATTTATATGCTGCCCATCTCGATATCCAGAGTGACTTTTGCAAAGCATCTCCATGCAGAGTGTATTACAGTAGCCCAGCGAAGAAGAAACTGTTATATGTTAGCATCTTCTGATCCAATGGCTCCAGAAATGAGCAGCATTTATTTACAACATAAGATTTGCAATGTTAAAAATACAGTATTATGTCACTGAAAAAAACCGCAGTGCATCCTGAGTCTTTACCATGTACAGCAATATTGACAGTGCAGACAGATAATGTTTTTGTATTGCTTACTGTCCATTATATGTCTTGTGATAACTTGCCATTTGCATAGGATTCAATTCCTTTTTTTTAAAAAAATATAATTTTAAAGAAAATTTTAGCACAAGAGCAAAAATCAGTACAAATTCAAGCAGAGTAAGAAGGAAAAAAAGAAAAATAAATGAATAAAAAAGCTAAAGTGCAAAAAAGAAAAACGGAAAAGGAAGAAAAAAGATAACGGAAAACTTGCCATTGTCGCTGGTTTCCGATCTTTACAGCAGTTATAACTACAATTGTTGATCTATCCATCTCTTTCTGTAAAGCTACTTAGGGATTCTCTTCTTTTCTTATTCTAACATTTCTGATAATCAAAACCATAAATCATGAGTCTTGTTTTTTCTGTTTTAGGCAAAAAGTCCATAAGGGGTTTCTACTCAACAATAAACACAGAGGTTGTCTTTTCTCTAAACAAACAGGTCAATTTGGCCATCCCAGCAAGTTCTGTCATCTTCACCGATCATTCCTTCTTTACAGGTGTTGCCAAATCTTCCCATCTTTGGGCATTACAATAATCTGGCTATGGTTATCATATACAAAAGCAAAGTTCCATGACTTTTCTTCCAACTGTTTATCAGTCTTGAGAAAAAGTTCTGGTTTCAGTTGTATATATTAATGTTTAAAATCCTCTCACTCAGTGTATGCATTTGAACCCCAAATCTTCTAGCTTTTTTACACATCCACCAAGCTTGATAAAATGACGCTTTTGATAGTTCACATTTCCAAAATAATTCTCAAGTACTTTTTTTGCATTCTAGATAATTTTTCTGGTATCCTATAGCAGAACGGTACATCGTTTTTAAAAGTTCTCTTTTATACTTTAACACGATACACATTTCAAACCTTTCAATCACTTGTTTTCCCATTGTTCTACCTGTGTATGATAACCAAAATGTTTAGCCCACTTTATCATACATTCTTCCACTTGTTCTTTTTCTGTTTCAAATTTCAATAAAAGTTTTGTACATTTTAGCAGTCATTTGTACACGATTCCATTTCAAAGTCAGTCTTACTGCATTTAATACCATTCTTTTATCTACTTGGAATCTTTCTGATAACTGTAAATAGTAAAACCATTGACATTTATAACCCTCTGCCATCAGTTGTTCTCTTTATTTTATTTTGTATTTCCCTTGACAGAATTCTAATATCTCACGGAATGTTACACTTTTTGTGTTTGCCTATTAATATTCATCTATACAGGGGCACGGTGGCTCAGTGGTTAAAGACGCTGAGTTTGTCAGCTGGAAAGCTGACAGTCTGAGTTCAAGATTCAAGCACCGTGCTATGGGGTGAGCTCCCAGTTCCTGCCCAGCCAGCAGTTCGAAAGCAGGCAAATGCAAGTAGGTTAATGAAGAGAAGGACGAGGGGGGACATGATAGCAGTATTCCAATATCT